AAACGTCCTGTCAAAACTAAATCAAAACCTTGTTCAAAGGATATATATACTTCCTTCCTTTCTTTTGTTCATATTGAAATTTGTATATAAGGAATGCAAAACTTTTTTAAAACTTGTCCCAAATGCATATGAAAGAAAATGAATTCATAACAATCTTGAAACTTGTAGGATGAAAATTAAAACTTATAGATTTGGTTCGTCCGAAGAGCTTTTCTGGATTCACCTTGATCAAGAATGCCCCAAACGTTGCAAGCCAAAATGTAAAAGTATTTGTTATAATGATCTATATAATCAAACTGGACCTAAACTAAACTTTTCTAAGGTCAACTTTAAATTTATCAAAGGAGGATTAAGGGAAGGTATGTTATAAACCATTTCAGTACCTAACCATTGATGTGATGATAATCTTAGGGAATAACAATTCACAAGCAGTGGTATCAATAAAGTGCCAGTAAAAATGTTATAATGTTAAAAATATCATGCGTCCAAAGTGCTGTTTATGATTCACCTTCATCAACGTTAAGTTTTGGCAAAGGCTGTATAAATGCATGAAAAAATGAGGTGCTACAGGACAAACAGGATCGTCATACATAAGGTAAACTTTGCTTTGTGCGGGTTCGGACTCACAACCTCTTTGTTGACAGGTTAATGATAATGTAGGTAAACTATTTGGACCACTCGGCCACTCGAAGAATTTTAGAAAAGATTGTTGTATAACTTGTCTGTGCCGAAGCACTGACTACTGAGCTGATGATACCCTTGATAACTAACTAAGCCCACCAGCAGTACTATCGAGTTAGTGGTAGTAACTAAAAAAAAATTAAAACTAATAAATTTCATATGTTCGAAGTTTTATTTACTTATTATACTTTTTGCAAGCTATAAGAGAGGCGAAAGATATCAAAGGGACATTCAAACTCATAAATCGAAAATAAACTGAATAATGGTTTACTTTTATTAGTTTTGACTTGGATGGAGAGTTGTCTCATTGGCACTCATACCACATCTTCTTATATCTATTGACAACGCCATTGCTAAAAAAAGAACGTCACCGACAGACAAACGGACAAACAGACAAACAACAGTAAACAAACAACAACATAGAAAACTAAAGACTGAGCAGCACAAACCCCACCAAAAACAAGGAGTCCAGGTGCTCCGGAACGGTGAGCAGTTTCTGCTCCAAATGTGGCACCTAATTGTAAACTCAAAAATCCGCATTCAAACAAACAGAACTTTTTTTTTTAATTGTGGCAGTCATAAATTCATATTGAAATAATGATATAACGCCCCTACATCGTCCCTGATTCTGCTTGTACAGATCAATTTTGGAAATATTTTGTCGCTTGAAAAACATTTTTATTCAGTTTGATATTGTCTATAAACAAGTTTTTTTCTTAACAGTGGAGAGCAAAACGACCGTGTTTTGCATCTGTATCGGGTGTTATTAATGTTTTCATAATAGTAAGCATATCTTTGGTCTGTTGTACATTCAAGCTATTTCTTTTCTTGCACTACCTTAAAATGAATACACAAATCTAAACCTTCAGTACCTGCATAATTTTGCAAGAATTAAGAGGAAAGTCTTCATTACTACAGATCCATGTACAAATCATTCCTTGATTGAGAATCAGGAGAAAAGGTCGGCAGCATACACCTATAACTTCGATACTGATTTCGCAATGAGTGATGATGTGTTAGAAGAGGGGTGGTACAAAGTAATAAGCAAGTCCGGCACAGAAATGCCAACTGAACCACCCGAAGCATTCAAATGTGGAACGTGGTATCCAATATGGCTAGATGGTAACTAAAATTGGTTTAATCGATACTAAAAAAAACTACTCTTAGTGGATATAATAAATATACATCCTTCCTTTCAAACGCCTAGATTTTATAAATGTTTGGTTTGTACAAGAAATACCGTTATATGCATATGTTTAAACGCAATTGTGATCAGGGTTAAGATTCAACATTTGATCTTACATGAGACAGTTGGAAATACATTTGATATAAGGCTGAAATGCCCCAAATCGTACATTATCCCTTCTCTAACATTTGCTTTAATTCCGATTTTAGAAACATTGCATTAAACCTCTTCGTACATGAAATGATTTATTTATTCATCAACCCCATTTGATTCCAAATTGTATTATCTGACATGATGCTTCCAAATAAAAAACGCCGAATAGGTATTAAGAAAAGTATTAGTTTGCTTAAAGAACATAGATAGTTTGGTAACATGCTTAATTATTTGGTTTATTACAGGATTAGCATTCATACGCACATCGTAACTCGTCTTTTCAAATTATATATTTATACACTGTTGGAGATAATGAAAGTACATTTCCTATAAAGTTTAAAGTAATTAAGTATTCTAAGGTTAAACAAATTGTGTCTTTTCCTTTTTCTACCTATTAATTACTTCAATTATAACATTGCAGGGTTGATGCCTGATGTTTTAGATGATGTAGTTACTATAAAGGTGTGTACAAGAACCTTCACCAGCCTATGCGAGGAGTTCTGGAATGTTGATATAAAAAATTGCACAGACTTCTATGTATACCAATTGAAGGCTAGCCAACGAGCAAAGGCTGCCTATTGTTTTGGTAAGTAATAGAAAAGGAAATAGATATAATGCGTGATATGATTGCCAGGAAGACCATCCATATATATACCACAAGGACAGACATGTTTACATTTGCAGGTTGCGTACAGCCTTTAACAGATAAAATGTGTGTAGATATTTTATACACCTGAGATTTAACTACTTAAACTAAATGTTGACTTTGGAGTTTGACAGCCATTGTGAGATATCTGTTGTTTTTTTCCTGATTATGTGAATTAGTTTCTTTGGTTTTTAACTCTTTGATGTCGATGTACTCATGCTGAAAAATCTATTTCGATAATAGAATACTCATACATTGACTGGAAGTTTGTAGTATATAATAATGGTCGGTTTAGAATTTTAATACGAAAACTATTCAATTACTTTGTACGTGTTTCGCGATTTTGCAGCACTTCCGTCGACAATCTCGATCGGTTTGTTAACCTATCACAAAGGATTTCCAATCAGATGTTTCGTTTTCTAAACATATATTTCACGTTTTGACTTTTTTCCCGGGAAGTGTCATCCTTTAAAGGGGGATATTTTTTTTTCATTTAAGAATTAATTTGAACTTATTGCAACTACTGTAACTTCATGTCTCTATAAAATCTTAAAGAAAAACCCATAGATTTATACATTGATATTTCGTATACAAATAGGGACTGGAGGTGTTCAATGTCCAGATGGTCAGTCTTCACTGAATGAATTCTATCCCGGCTGCACTAGTAAGTATAGACCATCATTGCTGTTTACAGTTTATATGTTGTATGATTACTGCGCCATTATTTTTAATTCAGTAAAGTCATGTGAAATAATGTTTAATGTTTTTTCTTCTTTTATTTTGAATTCTAACAGACTTGATGAATGTTTTAAGAAAATAATGTTAATATCAAATGCATCATAATGGCATTTTTGGACCCAATAGTTTCATGGCTGGAACGATTTGATCTTATAGGCTATAATTAAAAGTCGTATTTCACATTTTGAGTTTCGAATTTTTATGGAGCGTATAATGCCTTCTATTCTTGTATTTAGTTTTCATGATGATCTCTCTTAAAAATGGCCCGGATGTTCATGACATTTTTACATAGAAAAGTTTATAAAACGAATATTGGTTAAAATTTTCCTTCATAGTTTATTAGTAGCATATAGAAGGTTATATTCAATTATGACAAATATTTACTTACATTTATGCAATACCTTTATTCAACGTGCAAGGCAATGAGGTTATATGATTGGCAATTAGAATAGCATGATATGTTTTCTACGCCACCTATGACAGTAGGGGTATTATGAAGCTAAGGGTACATCTATTCAAAACTTAGTTCAAATATTTAAAATGATATGAACTGTTTAAAATGTAAGACACATTAGAGCATGGACTTGTTATAGTGTGAATGGATAATGTTTTCCAATCGACAGATTTTTTTCAGAAAAAAGAAATGTTTATAAATCGTATCGAATTGTCGGTGTTTCTCTATTTTATTCTCATAGCTATTATAAAAATAATTGTCCATGTTTATTTTTACTCATACGCAAGAGTACAAACGTGGTTTATAAGCACAATAGATAACATCTACTTTTAAATCATCGCTGATAAAAAGGAAATGTAACAGCAACAGAAAATAAAAAAAAATCGTCTTTTTCCTTCTTTTAAATAGCGACTAACATAAGTCTTTGTAATTAAAGTACTTTTCGATTGAATTATCTATATATCCGTGAAGTTTTGGATGAATGATCATTTGAATAGTTTGTTTTCATTTTCATTTTTAGTTTTGGAGTAGTTGCATTCACTATGCAGAATCAATTACTAGTCATGCTTTAATTTTGTTCGGAAATGTTTACTTATGCTGGAAAACATACGTCTGCTCATTAATATATTTCTTGATAGAAACCTTTACCATCAATTGCAAATTAAAATGCATTTGATAGGATGCTTAACAATATTGCTATTGCTATTATAAGCTTATTGGGGTGCTTGGTAACTTGATGATACTTATCATTATATAAAAAACTTATTTTTTAACCAATATATAAAACATTCTATGTGAAGTATGTGTGAAATTGTTATAGTTTAGGTAGATAAATCACAATGTGTTTTCAATAAACATTCGCTGTTTTCAATAGAACAAATATTATATTGCACATTAATGTTGTTAACAGTAAAATACTATTTAAAAAAATATATTCTCAAATCATTTCGCTTTTTTTTTTACATTATGTTAAAATAACAGTTTGTATGATTTCTGAAAATCTAGATACATGATGAATTTTACTGAATGAAATATTTTCACTTGTAACATTTTATATTCATAGTTGCTTCAATTTAAATATAGGTACCGGATTTCCTACGGAAGAAGTGGTCCCACGAGTGATATCAAGTTTGGATATTGGATCATTTGATAAAAAAAATCCACAAAATGGTCCGAGTCTTATTGTAGTATTTCAGTGTATCTTTGATGAAGTATCAACGTATGTGTATGATGTTAGCTGGTATATTAATGACCATTTTGTCAAAGAATACCAAAACAAAGTGTACAATGAAATAAGAAAGACGGACCTTCGTCCAGAAGACTGGGTTGGAAGACATCGTATGAATACGATTGTAAGAAAACTAATCGAAATATAGAAATATAAAATAAAAATAGATGGTTTGGGAAAAAAACCTCAAATTATGTGCCCACTTTCTTTTCTTATTTAATCTAACTGTTCAAGCTGATATTCATTCACTTCACTTTGTCAGTTCAGTTGTTGTTTTATTTGTTGTCATTTGTATAGCTGTAGGTTTTACTTTCTTCGTGTCTAATGAAGAACATCATTACAGTTTGTGTTATCATAAATTGAATAATTCAGTCACAATAAATAATAGTCCAATGACTAATGGAAATAGCATGATTTGGAGATGTCATAGTATGAGAGATATTTAAAACCCCATATGTTTGTATCTTATAAATCCACTTCTATCTAGTTTAAACCAGTATAAATTGATTTCTTGATTGGTGTTTTTTGCCACTTTCAGCACTATTGGCTATTTCGTGGCAGTCAGTTTTCAATGGTGGTGCCGATATTCCTTCATCTATACTTCACATTGTCTGTTTAGTTGTCTTTATACTTGTTATCATTTGTATAGCTCTGGGGTTTTCTTTCTTCATGTCTAATGATGAATATCATCAGAGTTTGTGTTATCACACATACGATTAGTTCTGTCACAATAAACAATAGTACAAAGACTAACGGAAATTTACTTTTGTTGTAGATGCAGTATGAAAAATAGTTAAAACTCGGTATTTTTGTATCTTAAACCCAATTCTATCTAGTTTAATTATCAAGTTGTTTCTTTAAAAAACAGCAGTAAACCAATATTGATTGTTTTTTAACGGCACGTTCAGCACTAGTAGCTCTTTCGTGTCTGTCTGCTTTATTGGTCGATAAAGCTGAAGTGCTCAGGGAACCAGTATTGAACCTTACATTTACATTTTTGACTTGAAATGAAATTATTTAATTGTAGATAAGTATTTGAAGCTTCTTATTGCCTTTTAACTAATTGTTTGTGTTGTTAAACCTTATACAGTTCAATTATGACAATTGATTTAATTTTTTCTATTATATCTTAAGGTAAATTAATTGACATTCAAGGTATACGGTAACCCGTTTCAATTTGCGTTCAGTCTTTCACTATATTCATACAGGTGTTAAAGTAAAACAACTTTTAAGGATGTTCGCCACTCATTTTCAAAATAACAAGCCTTTTAAAAGACTGTTATAAACTGATAGTATATAAATAAAGTAAATAAAAAAGCAGAAAAAAATGAAGGGTCCGTGTGCTTGTTTTCGAGATATAAGCCATTGAAAATTTGGCGGGAAATAATTCTCTCTAGATTTTTCATACATTTAACATTGGCACCCTTTTTCTTTCAAAAACGATGAAAAAATAACAAGGATTTTATAAGATTTTCAAATATGGCATTTCAAACTATATGTAATCAAATAATGGATACAAAAGTAGGGGTTAGCGGGCAAAATATTTAATGGCACAGCATGGATAAAACCAGAGGATTCCGAATATCTGGCAAAAATTCAAAAACAAGAAGAGCGAACATCCTTAACATCAAAATTTATTGTGGAAAACATGATAAAAGTGAATTGCGGGTTAAACGTGATTGAGATAGGTTATGTCGTCTTTTCAGTCTAGATCCGATCAACACCGATTGATAAGAAAAAAAAACAAATAACGTTTGCTGTGAATTTCAGAAATACACATTCAAGCATGAATACGTAATTTTAGTGCAAAACAAAGGATGTATAACATCGACAAATATCTTATTACACAAATTGCTCGTATTTGAATACATGTATCTCCTTGTGTATACACAATTAATTTGACTTTTTTAAAAGTGAGTATTTAACCTTATCATATTTCTTCCAGTAGAAAGAAAACTAATCATCAAATATGGGACAATTATGAAAACTAATTGAATATTTCTGCAGTGCTGTAAAAATAAATGAAGTATCGAATGATGTATGGTTTGTCTACTTAAGAATTGGTATATTACTATTTCAAGATAGAAACTTACGTTTAAAGGCTGGGTTCATATTTTCCATGTTTTCTATATTTATACGTTTCATTGGTGCATTGACTACTAATTAAAATTAGGACATATTCTTGAGCTCAATTAGGGAAAGTGTGATCAATAAAAGCAATAACTTTAATGTATTTGCATGGCTTTGACACTTTTCACTATTTATAAGCAAAATCGTGTGACCGATGATGCATGCATTACAAATAATACCTACCATGACCTTAAATCAAATACTCGCCCCGTTTAGAGTTCATCCGATTCCCATTGTTGTAACTCCTATGTTTGTCTGCTTGTGCCAACACAGCCGTTATGAAAAAAACTCATTTATTAAGTAATCAATTATAAATTATGGTGTGTATCGTGGTAGGTGAAGTGATCTGTTAGACTTCGGAACGCAACTGGCACAATACCGGGCTTTTATCAGGACAGCGACTGGTTTAAAGCAGGTGTCTATGTAAGTATCAAAGTATATTATAGTAAATGAAGTTAGGTAAGTAAACAAAGTAAATAATAAATAAAAATTAAAAATTAAAAATAACATTTCAATTACATTGTGTCATACTGCGCTTTAGCAAATAAATGAAAGCAACACGTTCTAAAATTTAATGCGTCCGAAGTGCTTTTCTAGATTTTCCTTCATCAGGAACTCTCAAAGCCGAATATTTGAAACCCAATGATGTATAAAAACCGAAACAAATAAAGCGCTATATGACCAAAAGGACCTAAAAAATAGCCAAATACATCTAAGGTCAACTTTGCCTGAGGGAGTTGAAACCTCAGTTTCTTTATAATTTTCAAAATTTATGAACGGACAATTTTAGAAATGTTCGTAATAAATCATTTCAGTACCGTAGTACTGACTACTGGGCTGATGATACCCTCGGGGACTAATAGTTCAGTACTAAATGTCAATGGTGCTCAATTATTAATTCAGTTTATTTCCTTGTCAAATCTTAACGTATATATTTACTTCTGGTCTTTTCGTGTGACAAATGGTCAAACGGATGTTAAAAAATTGAATTGTGTTTTAAAAGAGGTCGTGTGCGTCTAAAATATAACCTCAGTGGAAATTCATTTCCTAAGATAATTGTTTTCAGAGATTTTATATAAAGCTAATACGTTTTAATAATCCATCACAATTATAACTCTAGCATTTGATATTTCATTGAAATAGACAATCTAAATAAAAAAGAGGTATTTTTCAACATTCAGATGTTAAGCGATTAAATGTCATGTTTTGTACAATGCTTAATTTCTGATTGCTACCAAACAAGTAGTTGTTTATTTTTTTTTCTGTTCTACGAAGATGCTGTTTTGTTGACGAATACTAACATCTCTTTTTATTCAATCCGTGTAGAAATTCAAATTAAATGTATTTTAGTTTCATATTATATTCTTGACATTAATGTTTTGTACAGAATGTACCGAAAATATGGGAAACTAAATCTTAAGATACCAAACATTCTAACAAAACATTGTGTGATTAATATCAATATAACAAATGGAAATTTATCTACTTTAATTTCCTTTTTATATACAAAAAGGAAAATAATGATATTCGTCAGAGATACAGCAATCTAATGACTAAAATAACCAAGAGACAAAAGATAGTGTTCTTTAACAGATTGATGTCTTCCAATACATGTCAATTTTCAATCGTCCCAGATCTATACATATAAAGTGAAATATATGAAAAGAATTTAATTCCCCCAAAAAGGTTGTTAACTATAAGTCTAGCTGTTTATCTCGCTATTAGTGTTTGTGTATAGTTTCAAATTCTAATGAAAAACAGAATATTAGAAATTGTTTTAGATGACATACAAACATAATTTCTGTTTCAGCCTGAAAACTTTCAATATCAAGTCATTGAAAGTGAAAGTACTTTGATTTCCTATAACGTTACAGTACCTATGGGATGTTTTAGTGCTTATAATCAAAATCACTGTCAACATCTCCTTTATATTACCCTGCCTAAGTACCAGGAGACACCAGCGACATGTTCGTCAAGTAATATTTTACAACAGGATATTGTTTTTAACGGTTTCGAATTTTGCAGCTTATCAATTCCATCATCAACTCACGGACAGAAGATTCAGTTTAATGTTACAGGATACATTGATGGACAGTACAACGGAGATAGAAAACGCACCACTTAAATAAGCGTCACGTCACGTCCAAGTACAGCTGATCGATCTGGTGTTTGGGATGATATTTCAATTCCGATTATAGAGGTGAATAATTCTCGTTTGGATTGTTTTACATTTATCGTTTTGGAGCCTTTTATAGCTTAGTATGGGGTTTGCTCCTTGCTAAAGGCTGTACGGGGACCTGTCGTTATTAACTTCTATGTCAAATGTTCTCTGGTGAAGATTTGTCTCATTGGCACTCATACCACGTCTTCTTATATTTATCACTACATCGGGAAGTGTTCAAATTTCTCAAATGAAAACATTTCAGTTATGATTTCATGATTCTTAAAAAAGGAGAACAACATTTTATGAATTTGTCGCGTCCGGATAGTTGTAGCAATGAAGTCCATATTGATGGCAATATCTCAATGTATGACTTCATGAGAGTAAAGAAAACATAAAAGTCTAACAAATCTCTCACGTTTACACCAGTTAGAAAAAAATGTTGTTTTTTGACAATATTAAGATTTATATAATTATATATTATACTTTGAAGAAAAATTGGCATTAAATACTTTTTTTATACCTTTTAGCATGACAGCCCGATCAGAGAAAATACATACATGAGATTATATTCCTCACTTTCCATATTAAGTACCAAAGCATATTGAACATGTCTCAGTCGAACAAACAATTACTATATTTTCCTGGGAAAGTCAAATAACTTTATACAGAAATATGTTTTACATTGCAACATTTTCGCAAAGCTCTAATGTTCTTTCGTTTTTCTACTTTAGTTGTCTAAGAAAAAGTTAAAATTTAATAAAAGTAGTGTAAAACTCATTGTTTCCTGTTACTTTTGTTACAGGTTTTGGTGTCTGATGCCGATGAAAAAATGAAAGGTCGTCATTGTCAAGTTTACAACGATCCACATTTCTATACTGCAGATAGGAAATATTATAATTATTATGGGGCAGGAGAGCACATACTCTATCAGAACACAAAATATCCTTATCAGGTGATTTAGATATTACAAATCGAGTGTTTCATATAAACGATAATCACACTGTATTCTTGAAACATCCAATAAATACACTTTTTCACAACCTTAAAATATTTTTTTTTTAAATTTCACAAGTCCTCACACAATGTTTATCTCCTCAGTAAAAATAGATAGGCTAAGATTACCTGTCAAAAACGTTGGAGGTTTAATCCACCATTTTCGTCGGAAAATGTATGTATAAAGGCGGGAATATTGTTGTTGTTTTTGACTTGTTCCGTTGATTGATAGCGCTTGATTTGTCAGTTTTTATGGACTACCCCTTTTTGCCTTGGAGTTCGGTATTTTTGTTAAACTTTTCTTCAAACAGGTTGCTAACCTATAAAAGCAGGAATTCTGGAAAAAACGTAACTAAGATTCTTCATTTTCTAAACAGTTTATAGAAAACCAACCAATGTCTGCCTTATTGTACGAAATGTGCATAATTGTCGATTCAGTCAGTATATTGATCTTCAAACGTGGTTAATCTTGCTTTACCCGTCTATAACCGTCAAAACCAAAACTATATTTTTTTTTTTTAAACTTTCGTACTAAAAAAAATTATTTGTAATCGGCATACTATATCTCCAGTATACGAATTCAAGCAGAGATTGGATCATTTGTTCATATTTTGCACAATGATACCATTTGAGCGCAACTCCGCTGAGACCATTTGCCTGACAGTTTTCATTCTTGGTTGATTTGAAAGTCATCATACGTAGTTCAACATGTACCCTTATTTTGATTAGTCAATAGTCATAGAAAAAATAGGAATTTGACCTTTTCATTATTAAGGTAACACAATACTTTGTAAAGGTAAATAATTCTCAGATCATTTGCTCGTAGACTTCTTAATAGATACGGTTGTGTGTCAGGATGTGTAGTTGAGCCTGCTTTATCGTCATTTTAAGTCATTCAACATTAATAATATCTGCTTGAGTTATGATATTGTAACTCTCATCGGCCTACATTCCTAATTATATATTGTATCGTCAATCTGGATCATTATTTTACAAATTGAACTTGTTTGTTTATTTTTGTCCGCTTGTAAACCAGTTGTGGCTCTCAACATTTTTCATCTGTAAACTTGTATGTTGATCACGTCACCAATACTAGTAAGAAAACTAAATTCTCCAAGTTTTTCATAAAAATTAAACAAATATATGTCTTTGTATTATAAATGTTTTATAGAGATTCAACAAATATATTTCATCTTATTAAAGGTAAATGCAGTGTTCACAAGATGTTGGAGGGCATCATGCAACTGTGGAATAGCTATTCAAAGTGGCAAGTCCTTACTGGTAGTAAGAACATGTGCAACAGTATCAAGAACAAAGTTTGTGCGTGGTTTGTCAACACCTTATATAGCTAAAAGAGTATGCGATGATCGTAGTATATCTATTGACAATAGTCAGGATTCAGGAAAAAAATTTGTTGTAAGTACTGTTTAGTCAGGTTCATTTTGATTATAAAGTATTGATACTTTTTGTTTTACAATATTTCTAATTATATCGCTCAAACGAAGGTTACGACACCCTCAGGCAAAGTTGGCCTTAGATGGATTTGGCTCTTTGTTTTAGGTATTTTTGTCATATAGCTCTTCAACTGTTTCGGTACTTATACATCCCTCGGATTTCAAATGTTTGGCTTTGAGCGTTCCTGATGAAGGTAAATCCAGAAAAAGCGTTTCGGACGCATGAAATTATTAAACGTGTTGTTTTCAATTTTTTACGACAGTTGTTGTGTCTGTTCTGTTTCTAATTATTGTAAAGTGGCCAAAATCGAAAGTTGAGAAACCCTTGTCCTTCATCTGCATCCTTAACTTCTTTACATTTCTAGTCTCTTTTAAAACATGTTTGATTATAATCTCGGAGGCGTTTTGACATTTATTGTTGATGAAAAGGGCCAGGAGGTTTAATGCGCCATTAAACTTTAAGCATCTTATCGGACGCCCACTGTTTATATTGTTTTGCATTGTAGCAATGTCATTTGATGTAAAATTTCTAAAATAACAAAAAAGGATAATTATTTATTCAGTAAACAAAATGGTGTCTTTAAAAATGAAAATTTCAACAATGGACACTCTCCAAAAGTGTGGACTAGTGTCTTTTTATTTTTATATAGAATATGATTCATGACAAAAATCTCTTTTTTGTTGATCTTGTATTGGTGATAATGTTTCTGTTTACAGTTTCTGTTCTCATGAGGTTGCCAAAACCACAAAAGGTTAAAACAAATCGTCATTTAAGAGCGATCTCGCCTATAAAGAGTCAACAATAGATTTCAGCAAAATTTGACTCAGTTGTATATCTTGTTTTCTTAATCATGTTTGATTTTTAAAGTGCCTTTCTAACTTTTATCATTTTCAACATAATAGGCAAAGACACAAAAAGGTCATTTAATAACGATCTCTCCTATAAAGTGTCTACCAATGATTTCAGCAAAATTTGACTCAGGTTTAGATGTTGTTTTGGTGATCATATTTGCGTTTATCTATTATCTATCTATTATGGTTTTCTAAATAATAGGAGGGATGGGCAAAATCGTCGTCAAAGAGCAATAAGTCCAATAAGAAGGTGACTGACGATTTCTGTCATTACACTTTTTCGTTGATCTTATCTTACTGATAATTTTTGCTGATTTAAACTTTTATCTATATATAATATCTTTAAAATATAGGCCGAAAAGTTAAAAAGAAAATGGTAAAAATCTTCAATAAAGGGTAGTAAATGCAATAAGGAGTCAGCTGACGATTTCGATTTTTATGTATATCTTGACTTGTTTATCATTTTACATGTTTAAGTATCTACATATCCATTATAGTTTTTAAGATAATAGATATAAACACAAAACAAAATATTCATCCTTAAAGAGCAGTAACTCTAATAAGAAGTAAGGGGATGATTTCGATCCTGTTGACCATTTTTTTAACCTTGTCTAGTAGATCATTTTCTACTTTTTAAGTTGCTATCTTTACATTATAGTTTTTAAGATATAAGGCAACGCAAAAAATTGGCACAAATCGTTATTAAAGATCAATAACTCGAAGGACACTATTTTTTCGGAGTACTAATCTTCTCTATCACCCTCTCAGCTATCTGTTATTGATATTATGTCTGCTTTGATATTTGGCAGAAGCCTCGCCGAATATTTTTTTTTCATGGATCGGCAATGTTCCTGTAAAATATGTATACCCATGCTACTCTATGTCGGACGCATAATATTTCAACAGTTTTTCTAAATTCCTAGTTACTATAAGATAACTTGATATGTATTTGTTTTTAAGGTAACTCTCCCAATTGGCACAGAAATAACATTTAGAGTAAATGGTAGATATATAGACTATATTTACATTAAACCGTCCGTTTTAGACCTTGGCTGTGCAGAGGGTCTCTGTGGATATGTCAGCAGTGAAAATAAAAATACAGATGACGATTTTCTCAGTAGGGGAGAAACAATCGCCATTACAGATTCACAACAATTTGCAAAATCATGGATGTAAGTAAAATAAGGTAGCATAAATTAACATTTCGTTTATTATGACAACGGAACACAACATTAAAATATGGAAGTTGTATAATGCTGTTTTAGTAGCTGTACTTTTTTCCCGAATCAAGTATTGACAATGAATTGGCGTGTATTTAATTCCTCTGTTTTTCAAAACAATATATTAACACATAAATAAAGGTATTTACTTGAGGAAAGTGAGATAGTGAGAAAGTTTAGTCCATACCATTGGTAGTATTTTACTAAAAAATAATTATTATTGAACATCAAAACAGTCGATTATTTGATAGTGGTGTTGTCCGTAATGAAGGTGTACTAATGTATTTGCTTTTTTCACTATTTGGTTTGCCCTTTTTCCTTAATTGGGTTAAAGTACGGTTAAATATGTTAAACAGACCATTTGAATTTAACAGGAGCAGTGAATGGGTGAGGCCACATTTTTGTCCGAAAGTCCTAAAAAGAGTTCTCAAAATCGTTTAAAAGTAAATTTATTCTTTTCAAAACCCATCCACTGTTTGAAATATATATTTTGTTGCTAGATTCATTTTGGTTTAAATGATATTAAACAATTAAAAGGTAACTGCATTAAATAATTACTCATTTCATAATTGCCTCTGCAGTAAAGAAACATAAGTATAATTGTACAGTTTTCAGTACTAGTATCTTGATGTCATGAATATTTCGCCAGGAATTACACTTGAGTATGAATACACAAAAACAAGAAATGAGAGACCCTGAATTTTCTCTGTAGACCGCTTTGCCTAGATTGTCACTAAGAATTACCCCAATAATCTTTTCAAGTTCAACAATTTTAGCGATCAGATGCTGATAGATGTTTTCGTATATTTTGTAGGGTTACTGATACAAGGGAATCGCTCTTTGTAGAAAACCCAACAATAATAGAAGAATCGAATAATTCGCCTTCATTTTGCCAATGTGCATCACAGGGTGCTACGGAAGGAGACATAACAAACAAATACCGCCTGCACTGTAATCTTACGCAGCCAATGGAACCATGTTACGATGTTGAAAGTAATCTATCATTTAAAAGCAAATGTACAGATGGAACCCGTAAAAAAAGATCCATAGATGAAATTGGTTTTAATGAAAGGGGTAAAAGAAGTATAGATGATACAGATGATGTTATAGAATTCCCGCCATTTGAAATCTTGTCCGATGTTTATGACGATTCGTTTGTTGCTGAGGTATGTTTAAACTAATATGCATCCATATATATATTGAACGTATGTCTTTTTCTTAGTTGAGTTTTGTATATTACAGTACTCCGTTTAAAACTAGGGATTTGGTCAGTGAAGTCAGGCTTAGACAGATAACTTATGATATACCCATTGGTTTCTTTTTTTTTTTTTCTTTGGGGGAGCTTTTCGTGTTTTCAAATGTATAAGCAATGGATGCTTTATCATGTTCAAAAATAGGGGGTAAATTAAAATTTAATGTTGTTGTAAAAAAATGGATAGTTCAATCTTTATGTCATTATTAGGGACCAGCCATTGTTTATTTCCGAGAAGGTAAAATGTTTTGAATTTCACGAAAAAATTTAATGACCCCTTTTCCATTTCTGCGAAACATGTGTGACCCTCTGAAAGTGTAAGTTTACTTGTCATGAGGGTAAAGCTATATTTATTAGAGGGTGTTAACGGTGCAAAATGTTAAAAATGGGACAACTACTTTTCTCAAGCTTATTAGTTGTAGGATATCGAGTTTTTTTACATTTCTTATTTCACGGACAAGGATTTTTTTAATAAATGTCAAACAAGAATAAAATTATGTTATTATTAAAGAAAGTAAATAAATTACCAGTCCTGATTTTATCTGTTACAGCAATAATAAGAAAATTATAGGGCAATAATCCATTTCATAAACATCTATATGGGTATCTGTCATCATAAAAAATGGAGTTTTTAGGTGCGAAAAGTAAATAAAATATATCAGGTGAGTAAAACAGTAAAAATGTTTATCAGTCAAGTACCTTCAATTGAGAAAATCCATTTTTTATAGTTGGTCATACTATACCGATAATGTTTAATATCGAATATGAAAGTAATGTAAGGACAAAATTGAAAGTTATTTGGTCACATATTACTATAATTTGGTCTTTAAAGGTGTGAAAAGTAAATGAAAAATACAAGATGAGTAAAAAAGTCCAGATCTGATTCAAAGAAGTTACTTCAGATGAGAAATTCCCATTTTTATACTAGGTTCCCTCATACTGATAATGATTCAAGCCATTAGATAAGAATAATGTATGAACAGAACTGAAATTGTATGGGCAACTATTACTACTATTAGGTCTTGTAAGCTAGGAAAAGTAAAAATGAAATATATAAGGAGAGTAAAACAATTAAAATTTTTAAAGTTACTTCAGAGGAGGATTTACAATTTTCATATAAAAATAAGAAGATATGGTATAATTGCCAATGAGACAACTCTCCACAAGAGACCAAATGACACAGAAATTAACAACTATAGGTCACCATATGACCTTCAACAATGAATAAAACCCATACCGCATAGTCAGCTATAGAAGGCCCCGAAATGACAAATGTAATTTAATTCAAACGAGAAAACTAACAGCCTAATTTATGTACAAAATGATGAACGAAAAACAAATATGATACACAGAAACAAACGACAACCACTGAATTACGGGCTCCTGACTTGGGACAGGCACATACATAATGTGGCTGGGTTGAGCATGTTAGCAGGCGCCAACCCCCTCCCCCAAAGCCCCTAACCTGGGACAGTGGTGTAACAGAACAATTATAAAAATCAGTTGAAAAAGGCTTACTCATCAGATGGATACAAACAGAAATACATATAACAAAAACACAGAGTGAACAAGGCAGAGTACTTATTCGTCCCCAAAACAAAAAGAAACTAAGTACAGATCTAAGAGTACTCGTAGTTACTGACAGCTAGTTCATAGTTGGTTCTCCTATACCGATAATAATTCGAACCTAATACTGGAATAATGTAAGGGCATAACTGAAATATTATGGGAAACTATTATTACAATTTGGTTTTTTATTGTGCAAAAGGTTAATGAATTATATAAGGTGAGTAAAATGACGAAGGTCATGTTCGAAGAGGCTACCTCAGAAGACAAACTCAGTAGTTATAGTTGGTTATCGCTCAATATTTTCTTTTCTTTATTTTTTTTTCTTATAATTTTTTTTTTAAATCATGACCCCTCCCTTCTGCTTACAAAAAGAAATTTCTGACCCCATCTTTGTCAGGTTTTAAATTTTTTTCTGACCCCCTCTTTTTTGTCGGCCCTTTCCTGAAGATAAATAACGACAGGTCCCTGAAGTTTCTAAATTCAAAAGATTGACATATTCAAAAACAGAAAGAACAAACAAATATGTTAAAAAAAGTATTTTAATAAAAATACCTTATACATTTGGTGCATCCAAAACGCCTTTCTTGATGGCTCAGAATTAGAGGCAAATGATGTAAAAATACATAAACTGCTTAATGACCAAAAAGGACCAAAGACAATTACTAAAACCATGTAAGGTCTAACCATGTTAATGTATTTTGATGGTTTAAGATATAAGGTTTCAATATTAATGTTATTGGTTATATCATAAGTCTTTTTCGATCAGTTCATTTTGTAATAACGTAAACAAAAATAGTTATATCAATCAATAAACGAACATAAAAAGAATCATCTTTGTATGTAAAAGTTTTGAAATTTTATATCAGTGTAACTTTTAAAAATTAAACGTGGTCATATCAGATCGTAAAATGTTTTAGATTTGACTCTCAAACACTAACCATTTCAAACGTATTTTTGAATATGCCTTTGGACTTCCAAATCTCGTATCAGACCATTGTGTCACGATACCTAAAGAATATTCCGCCTTAAGCAGAGTCTATTTGTAAAAAACACAAATGCATTTATCTAACAAAAATTCCACCTCTCAAGAAGATATTTCAGCTTTTACAGTCAATTTCAATTACAGTTTTTGAAGATTTACCGTTCGCGAAAAATGATTGAAACGATATATGAGCTATAAGTCAATAAGATAGGCAACCCGAAAGCATTCTTTTGAAATACGTTCTTTTCAATTTTAAAATATACAAAATAAACCAAAAATTTAGGCCAAAATCCTCATATATTCAAATTATACAGATTTTCGAAATGACAAACCAGATAGAATTCCAATTACAAATCACACGTATCGGTTTGAGAGATGCATATTCTATTAAGCATTCTCTATAGATTAAATATTGGCAAACAAAAATCATCACAGATGCACGGTTTGTTATTTGGTACGCCGGACCTTTGTTTCGTCTACATAACACTCGTCAGTTGGAAAACAAATCAAAATACGAAATTAAAGAGCATTAGAATAAAATTTCGAAATATTGAGGTAAATACTGCTAAGACAATTGGATATGTCTATAGTATTTCTTTTAAGATTCTTATGTTTTACAGACCCCGGAATGGCACAACGGATGGAATGAAGACCAAGCAGAAGCTACATGCAGGGAATATTTCGATAGAAACTTCCCAATGGATGTGAGAGTAGCCTCTTGGATATCTATTGAAGATTACATTAATTCCTCTATTGAAGATATAAAGGTAATTCTACTTTTTTCATTTGCATAAAAAAATATGTACTTTGATATGTGATGTTACAAAATACAACTTGACTCATAGCATGCTAAAATAGGATTGTGTTTTTATTCTTTTACACCCAAATAATTCATTGCTGATTTGATAGTAATTGCGCATAAATAACATAAAATAATATGTTATTGTAATACATACATGTATCTCATATATATTTTGTTCATTATTTTTTGTCTAAATATAATTAAAAAAATGGACTCTAAATTGATATGCATCGTCCAAGTTCTACTTGTCATCATTTTCTCAAAGAAAATATTTTTATAAGGGAACGGGATTTACATCTGTTTCAATATATTTCTGAAATCCAAACAATAAAACTACGCTAGGTAGGCTCGTACCATAATCATTTCATACTACTGTTATTTCGTACCATGAATTTATCATAACGTACCATATATGCCAACTAATGTATACCACATAGTACCATATGTCTTGTAAGTCTTTGAAACTTAGATGTTACCAGATCAAATTTTTGAAAATAGTTACGGAAATAAATCATCGTTTTAAAGGTTTATATTCAATGTATTACTGGTACATTCATTTGTTAGAAAATGCAGTTCCATGTCATGAATATGCATTTAATGCCACTAGACGTTAAACATGCATACATAATCATCATTATCATCATTTTAACTGTATTTGTGTATTAAAAAGTGGGTTAAGTTGCCATAACTTGATAATAATTTTCAACAAGTGATACTTACAATTATAGGTTGACGGATAAACTAAACAGGTAAAAAAGCACAGTAATTGATTTTGTCCTGTATCTTATCAAATATTGAATATATAGCTTGCAAGCATGTTAGAAAGCTATAAGCTTATATATTTTGGTGAAAAGGTGACAAATGCATTTTTCAAACCATGAATTATTCTATTTCGAATGCATAAGCTTATTGCAAATAATAGCAATCCTCGGTTATGTATTCCTATGAAACTCTGTTTAATTATTAAAACTAATTTACATTGATTGTTTTAGATATGAATATATACCATTGTGTATTATGGGATGAATTCGTTATATTTTCGTCGTGTTGTAAACAGTGAAAGAAACAAATGATTGCCTAAACTCCAGTGGAATTTAATGTCGTTTTAAAGATATTTTATTAATTAAATATTGTTATCAAGTAAATACTCTTTTGCATTTAGTATTAATCCATTAAAGAAGGAGGTTCAAGAATAGGAAAAAAAATATAAATCTTACACCATTAAACCAGGTTTTATAATCTGCAAACTTCAAAGCAGAAATGCACTTGAGCTAACACAATGATGTTAATGACATGAGATACTTGTCAAAATTTATATGTTTGATGCAAAATAACCTTTTGCCCAGAATTTGGTTATATTTGACAAAAGAGTAGTTATGTAATACATTTATCAAGGGTCACAAAGTTGCCTTACAATACCTTTTTTCAAAATAATTGAGGGAGTTTTAAGCATTCAAAACAATGGCTTATATTTTCTTGCTTTCTTCGTGTAACAGTGATTAATAATGAGTAATTCGTAATTGATAAAACTTATATTATGAAAAATATCATTTTCTTGGAATCAAATCAGTAGTTATATAAATTTCACTATTATTGGAAGTATTCGGGGAAATCAATACAGCATATCTCCTTACCAGAAAACCTTCAACTTAAATTGTCTTATCACGAATGACTTATATCATGTGACCGATCATATATCATGTATATTTCTCAATGTTATGTCTTTGTAATTCCATTTTATCAGATAACTGGTGACACGGCTTTCTTAGCTATTACTTTGTCTGTAATGCAAACTGCAGCAAAGGCTGAATTAGTCAGAAATCAGTCACTTATTGAAGAAAAGACAGATGATAGAACAACTTTATTAGAACAACTTACAAGTCACCTTTGTCTGAACAACTGTAATTCAAACGGACAATGCAAGAACGGTAAGCGTGAAATAAAGTATATGTATAAATGTGAGGTATTTTTAATTATCAGCGTAGGGCCAGAAATAAACTGTGGTTTCGGGGAAAAGAGGGCTTCAATCAAAACAAGGTTTAGTTCGCTTTGCTAGACGGGACATGTGAACTTGGTCCTTGCTAACCTAGAACAATGACAGCCGTGAAATCAAAAATTACATTTGAGGTCACTGAAAATAATTGTTTATTATCGTCAAATAAAAATGCCCTTAATTTCATGGTTTATTCACTGTTTATGTCTACCAAAATAACGCGATGACTTCTTGTAGAGGTTTTTGTACCTTAAAAACAATTTTTGACAATTTTGTTTCCGTGTTTTGTTTTGCCACTGTTTTGAAAAAAGTAAAACAACAAAAATACCGAACTCCAAGGAAAATTCAAAACGGAAAGTCCCTTAACAATTGGCAAAATCAAAAGCTCAAACACATCAAACGAATGGAAAACAACTGAAATTTATAATAGCAAATGAGAAATTATATAAAGCAAAAATTATTAGTAAACCAAGACTACCACTTTTGCAAATAAGACAAACATTATCGCAATAGTTTATCTTATCTTTATAGATTGAAGTCATTTGCATTCATTACGATTTTTATCAATTTCTGGATTTCCATGGCAATTATCTTGAACACTACAAAAAAAGTGTAAAAAGATAAAAGTACAAATTAGTCAACGATTGAGCACTGCTTTACGTGATATTTGAAAGGGAACAAACAACAACAGTAAACTTTTTATGAACTATGCATTTGTAGTCACAGAAATGTTCTCTGTTTCCAATAATTTTAGTAATCTTTATATATCAATTTGAACGCGGAGTTAAACGATACAAAACTACATTTTGTTTAAAACTTGTGTTATAATTTGGGAAAAGAATTGAAAGGTAAAATGTTTAGTGTTTACCTCAAAAGGGACATAATGAAATTGAATTATAGCGTAATGAATATTTGCTCTTTCATCATGTTCATGTTTTGATAATACATATCAAAATTGGAAGAAAAACAAATCGACGTAAGATTTCATATGTATCATATTTTCTAAGAAAAAATGGCAAATCATATCTGATATATAATTTTAACTTGCCATTATTTATGCAAAAAAGTGTCACACAGAAAAAAAACATGTGCTTTCCTACTTTATACAACTTTCAGGCTCTTGTATTTGTAATGAACTGTTTGGTGACGACGATTGTTCAAAGCCAAGGTCAACTCCACCCTCAAATGTTAGTTTGCCTGACAGTGGCTTGTGTGATGTTAGGAAAAGGGCATGTAAGAAGACTTACGTATATGGATATTTTCTTCCTCCTGATGTATATTGCAAAACTCGACATTTTGAGGTAACTTTATTATATAAATAAATAGTGAAATGTTTCTATATATACAAACTCTTAGTCTTTCGGATCTAAACAAAGAACATATCATTATAGTGTATATAAAAATTGGTGATATGCTTTACTTTTGATCAATTGCTGCATTTTAAATAGATTTAAAGCTGGATCACATACATAGCTTACTTAAATATATGTTTATGAAGTTAGCGAACTTCCTTTAGATAATGCATAAATTACCAGTTTAAAACCGTCCATATGATTAACATCTAGAAATTATATTTTTATCTAAACAAAGGAACAAAATGTAACTGAAATAAGAGTTCGATACTCCTACATTATTTTTTTTTCTAATTTAAATGCACCTGTTTTGAATTCTCCTGCAAATCAAAATTATGAATATAAATTTACAAATCATATCAAATGTCGAATGAATAGTTTTAAAATATTTTCAATTAGTTGTTTCCTTTTGTATATATGTATATATATATTTGTCAGATTTTTGGAAACACAAGATCCTACACCGGAACATCTACTACCAAAGCAACTATAGTACATTCTTATATGGTGGCGTGTGAATTACCATATGTGCGACAAAAGAGGTCAACAACTAGCGGAATTGTCTTTGCTGAAGGGTATGAAATTAGTGTTTCCAATGATGGTTCTAGTTTCGGTGAGGACGTTACCATTCTGGTATATGACGAGGAATGTTTTTCCTGTGAAACAGTTAATGTGACATGTACTGCTCTTGTAAGTTCTTTATTTTGTTTGAAATGTTAAAGAAAAATTATAGACATCTTGCAACATTTGATTCGTATCTGTCTTAAACTGAGTTAACACTAAAAGAACAAAAATAATTTGGTCTTATCACGCTAGGTTCATTAGTTATGTTACCATTGACGTGTTTATCTTATCAACATATGTTAAAGGAGTCACATATGGAGCAGGATCTGCTAACCGTTCCGAAGCTTCTAAGATCACCCCGGTTGTTTTTTGGAGTGGTTCGTGTTGGTCAGTCTTTGGTGTTCAATGTTATGTTCTGTGTATTTTTGTTTGTCTTGTCGTCGTTTTTCGGTTTTAGCAATGGTTTTGTTAGTTTGTTTTCGACTTATGAGTTTGAATATCCCTTTGGAATCTTTCACATTCCTTTTAAATGTTATGATAATAAACGAAATGAAAAGATGTTAACTGAATTTTTTCAAGTAAGCCTGTCTTGTCATCTTTTAATTAAGCCATTATAGGATTTTCAGTTTTGCCTCTGATATCATGATAATCTGAAAAAAAACTTATCTAATCAGCTTAATTCATTAATTATTGGCTGCAAATCATTTTTGCGGGATACGCAAGATGGTATCTGTAATTATCAGATGATTAATTTCTGAAATTTGATTGTGAAATTGACAGTCTTTAGTTTTCTATGTTGTGTTTTGTGTACTATTGTTTGTCTGTTGGTCATTTTCTTTTTTAGCCATTGCGTTGTCAGTTTATTTTCGACTTATGAATTTGAATGTCAATTTGGTATCTTTCGCCTCTCTTTGACTTACGTGAAAAAGTGTGTGGGGTTAGAGATTCCTATCAGACATCCAAAACTCATAAGTCGAAGACAAACTGACAACGCCATAGAAATAAAGAAAAGTAAAGGAGAAAACAGACAAAGTTCACAAAACAGCTAAAGACTGATCAACACGTTCAAATGTTATATCAAGTAAAACGATATTAGTACTGCCCAATATTAGTCCAGTGGTTAACTTTCGTAGTAATCTCAATGTGCTTTATTGTGTTTTCAGTCTTCTTGACGACTAGAATAAGAACTTTTTTCTCAATAAGAAAAGGACTAGGATGATTGTCTGTTTTTCACATTTTGTAAAAAATAATAACCACTCAACACTGCTAGTCTAAGATCAAACCAAAGAGTTCCTCTGCCAGATCAGATTACAACCTTAGGATATAACAATTCTAAATTTCATTGATGTGTCTTAGACCAATTTATGAGTTATATTTTTTTCGCGGTATTATATTTGAGACACCAGAATAGTCACTTGAATCCTATTCTATATCGTGATGTTTAAAGTTCGTGTGATTCCCTCGTTATTTTTCTCTTTGTTTGTTTAAACAAAATGGATTAAAGAGTTTTCAGCATCAGTTAACTATTTTTGCTTTTTATCAAAATGTACAAAATATGTTATAAATTCTATAAATATATTTGAGTACAAAATGTGTGGTTGAAATTGTTGCATTATGTTTTATAAAGTATTCTTTGTTTTAAAAGACTGTAGTCAACATATGAGTTTGTGTAAAGTAACGAAGCATTTAATTTTTTTTAAGGACACATGTCCTTCGATAACAGGAACAAATGAACAGTCAGCATCAGGTATGTATATGTAAAATATGGAAAGTATTACCTATGTAAACATGATAGGAAACTCTGTCCCGGATACACTTTTACATTTCAATGTTCCGTGAACCGCGAACCGCGAAATATGGATAACAAATCGATGCAGCATAATGAGCATGTGAATAACGTTTCAAATTAATGTGATTAAAAGTTGAATTTGATATGAGACACAAAGAACGAAATTTTATCATGCCACTTTAATACTTTCTGTGGCGAGGCATAAAAAAAAATATTTAAGAATCCGTCTGTTTTATAAAGTACATAATAAAACCCAACCTCACATTTATATAAGCCGCGATATGGAAATATCTCAATTAAGATATTTATCCTTTTGATCAATATAATGACTCTGATTTTATGTCGAATAAAAGACAAAGACGTAATGTAACGTTGACTAAAATAAGATATTTTGACTAAGTGATAATGATTTAAATCCAGCGTATTTCCAGGTAAGATTTTACATGTGACATAATATTTTACAAAACAACTATAAAACCTATACCCGAAAACGTAAGGAAGACCATCGGACGTATTAACATGTATTAGTTAAGAGAAATAACATATATCTGAATTATTTATTACGTTTCCCCTTTAAAAATCCTTTCGTTTCGTTTTTTTTTAATAAAATCATATAATTTAGCATTACAGACTCGTTTTAATTAAATATGTAAAAAAAAGAAAAAACTAACAATTTAACTCACGAAATCCCGAGAAATCTTACGAATAATGATTTTAATTTCAATCATACTTGTTGGTAATAAGATATACATCTATTCGATTGATTGATAGTTGTTGATGCTTAACGCCACTTCAGCACTATATGCTGTATAGTGGTGGTCAGTTTTGATCGGCGGAGGAAGTTGAAATGCCCGGAGAGAACAACCTATTTTTTGCAGAAAAACTGACAATCCTAGTCAATAAAGATTGATTTCCAGAAGACTGGAGAGAATATAACTTTATATTACAATGTATCAAATAAAGTTAGATGTGCGTAACGGTTTTGAAAAGGGAACAAATAATGATATATAAATGGTTGACTTTATGTGATGTTTTTGTCGTTATAATTATATTCAGTTTTCTTCTTCGATTAAGTTTCTGTTACGACAAAAATGTAATGATATTTTTTTCTCTATTGTTAAATGTATTGCTATGACCCAAATATGACCCAAATATGCCAAATATGCCACTCCCATAAGAAAACCCAGGGATCCAATATATTCAAGAGGGGGAAAGTCCATAATCTATTTAATGCTTCAGTCAATCTGAAATGTAAAAACTTACCTTCAAGTTTTACTGAACTTTTGGACGAAGAACGACAATAAACTTTCGGCTATAAGAAAAGAACAAACTTGTAACACACAATGGCTAAAGATTAATTGACAATTTTACGTAAAACCCAAGTATACTTAGTATATTAAAAGCTATTTCTTTACATGAAAAATTTATATTTTGCAAGCTTGTTGATAAAAAAATCGGCGTTTTAAATGCAAGAAATATATAACAAAAAGCACTTTTCATAAAATGATTTGCAGAATTCTCTATACCTGAGAAATCAATGCTTAAGAAATTGATTTCAACGTGATATCTTTTTTTTTAGAAAAAGAACGAAGAGAGGAAAAAGATGAAAACAACGTTGCATTAGCTATTGGTGTTGTAGCTGGACTATTCATTCTTGGAGTGTTGATAGGAGTCATGATTTACAAATTCAAATATAGAGATATCGGGTAAAGAAAGAATATTTCTATTTTATATTTTTTTTTCATGCTTGCTGATGAGTTCATTTGATGTCCTGTAAGCATAATTAAGCTTTACGACAACGTATAAGATATATATCTGATATGTTAGCGACTAAAATCATGCGGCGAAATAAAATATTTTATGTTTTTGGCACTAGGTTGTCCTGTTGTGTACCATACTCGGGTTCGGAAGTCAAAATGTTAACGTTGTTCTTATATGTACAAGTATTAATATAATTTTTATTTATTCGTGAACAACTATTGTATGTTTGATAAGAGGCAAGACTGCTGTTAGTTGTATAAGAAGAAGATATATTTGTCTGCTACTTTTAGTTAATAAGATATGTACAAATTTTCTGGACATTGTTTTACAACATGGCAGCCTCCATCAACATAGTAAAGCGCAATTTCAAAAAATTTTAACAACTTACAATTCTTTCAAAACTATATTGATTTTAAAGGCCCCGCAACAAAGTTGTGGAGCCATATAGTTTTAACCTTATTCGTCATTCAGTCATTCCTTCATTCAGCCATTCTGTAATTCTGTCATTCCTTAACGAAAAATTCTACGACTTTTTTCTAAACGCCTTCGTATGTACCAAGTCAGGAATATGACAGTTGTTTTCCATTCGTTTGATTTTTCCATTTGATAAGGGACTTTCCGATTTGAATTTTCCTTGGAGTTCGGTATTTTTGTTACTTTACCTTTTTTCACATATTGAGCTGATTTTTAGTATGTGAGTCTATTATGCTGAGTTATAGATCGAATTTACTTTAAGTTCCGCTCCGCTGCTTTATGTCGAAATTACAGGCTTTAGACTATGAAAATTGCACGAAGTAGTAGTTAAACGGACTTTTTTTCTAAATGCTTTCATACATTGAGCTGATTTTTAGTATGTGAGTCTACTGTGATGAGTTACAGATCGAGTTTACGTTTGGTTCCGCTCCGCTGATTTTTGTCGAAACAACAGCTTTGAACTTTGAACATTTTGTGAAAATAACAGTTCAACGGAATTTTTTTCTAAACGCCTTCACACATTGAGCTGATTTTTAGTATGTGAATCTACTATGATGAGTAACAGGTTGAGGTTAGGTCTGGTTCCGCTCCACTGATTTGTTTAACAGTTAGAGTTTAGAAATACAGGTTTGCGAACTCTTCAATTTTTGAATATTGTTGTTGGTATTGCTCGCTCTGAAATGAAATGATATCATTAAAAAAACATCTTTTTAAGCGTGAAATAGTTGTATTTTTAACGTACAAAATTTCAAAAAATTTTCTATTTGAATCGAAATAATTCTATCATGCCAGGGTTAATGCAGCCAGCGTACAGCAGAGGGATTTACCGACTGAATTATTCGGATTGATTTTCCTAATTGAAATCTCGGATTTAACATGTATGCCCATTCTAATCCGACGTGGTGGCTTATATACACTCTGTACAGCCATCGGATACCCCTTGCGTGAAGTTGTACCCCTAAGAGTAATATTTGATAAATTTCTATATCCCGCGGTACTTTACTTTAGGGAGAAAGTTTAGGGAGGGCAACACAATAGAAAGCTATGTTTTTCCTTTTTTCGGATGTCTTTGATAAGGATTTTAGGCCTAATATTCAAAATGTCTTGGATCCAAAAGAAAATGACCAAAAGAAAAATTGCGCATAAGTATTAATATTTTGGTTTTTTTTTTTTAGGAACAGACAAATTAACACATTTGGGCAAGAAGAGTCAGATCGAATGCCATCTCCCTGTTTTAATAAGGAACATTCAACAGTATCGACGTCAGCATTCGAATTCATTGAGGGTGAAAGAAGAACCCCAGACAAGTTATTTCTGGTTGAAACAGATACTATTTCGTAATTTAGAACTTTGTTAATTCGTGTACCCGTGTAAATTTTATAGTTATATATTTCATGATCATATGGGTTAACACATGTATATTCATATAATTAATAACGATAAAATCACGACTTTATAAGTTATATGTATAAATTATTAAAAAGTCATGATCATTGCATCGTTAGTTAGTATGACAGTACCGTACTTCAATTGTGTATTTTTAGATTTAATAACCACCACTGCGGTATGTTAAAAAAATCTCATACTAATATTATGTATTTTGATATCATTGTTTCATATCTCAAATATTTCTTTAAATTATGGGTTTCTTTAGATAGTTGAAAGCTTTTATTTTATAGATTTTTGTTTATTTTGCGTATTTATCCGTGTTATCACACTGTGTAACGAATTTATCTTACCGACTATTTTAACATGTGGCATTTAGACTAGTGACTAATCAAAGTGATCCAGTCCTCAATATAAAAGAACATCCTGCCATTGGTCTATACAAAAAACAAATGCCAACAATAACAACTTGTTAGCTTTTAATGTGTTTGTTGTATTTATTTTAATCATCAATTTCTTAATCTGTTGTCCGGGGGAACGTTTCAGATTTTTCCTCAACGTCGTGTTGTTTTCATAAAGGGATGTAACACCACTACTAATCGTGTATTAATAAAAACCACTCCTACTAATCCCATACTAAATATACACGGTCTCCACGCGGTCGCTTTTAATCAATGATATGTGTTTTAAAGGGTTGTAACACCACTACTAACCGTGTATTAAAATAAACCACGCCTACTAACTCCATACTAAATATACACGGTCTACACGCAGTCACTTTTAACCATGTACAAACTGAAACTTTTGATTAAAGGTGTCCAAAAAGGCAGGACTGATTACCATTTTGATTTCAAGCATGTTTAACAAAAGGTTTTGGAAAATTAGGTAAAACATTTAGACACTATCATAAATGCGTTCCATTTTTTCATAAAAAATACTGCGTTTGACGTTTGCCATGTTTGTGTTATCAAGATTCCCATAACTAAAGTACGATTCCATTATTGCAACCTATATTTCTAAATGTATCTTAGAACTCTGTGGAAAAATATGTTGAAGGCGATAATAAATTAAAGAATAAACTTCTCTTTATTTATATAGTGTTGTTCTATGTGAATTATCTACGCCTTCAACGCTTAATTAACTGCGAATGACTTGAAAGCGTAGTTCTGCAAAACCTTTATCAGGTACTTGTTCTTTAGAGATCAACAGACTAAGACGCAAACTACTTAACACGCTAAATCGTTCAGATAATTAGTAAAAACTAAACATTAAAGTATGCCATATTACTTACAACTAAAACCGCTTTTGCTTTTCAAATATTTACATTAATTTTGATATTAACAATGGAAAAATTTTGAAAACGCTCTAAATCATTTTTTTATTTGTTCCAATACATGCCTTTCTTAAATTAAAATATTGAAATGGCTTCCTCGTTTTGTATAAATAATTAAAATATATACATAAAAGATATAATGTAGTTTTGTACTAAAACATTTTATTGTATAGCTATTAGTTAGTTGTTGAACTGTGCCCTAGAAAAATCATTGACACGACAAACAACTTATTCTGTTCACAACTATTTTAATCTTGCTTAATATTTATTATAAATTAACTATCTATGATTCGATTTAATCATATCGTGTTTTAACTATCTGTTATCCCATTACATTATATTTTGTTTTATTGTTCACGTAACTGTGATATTTGTTTGTATATTGATGAGTTATTGCACTGATATTGTCGCGAGTAGTATAGAATAATGCACGAGCTTGTGAATGCAATATTATTTTCTGCTCGGGACAATATTCCTCAATGTAAGAGAAATAACCCTGTTATACTATAGTAACAAATATTCCATGAAAATGGATGATACTTCGTCTAATTTCAATTAACATTCAAGATTCAAGACATGACACAGAGTTTTTAAAAATGCTATCTGGTGTGTTTACATTATCTACTGTAGCAAGTCGTAAAAAGGTTATAAACGTGTGGCACAACAAGACGAATTAACGATGTTGCGATATATATATATGGAAAAAGTAGTATTACATTTTCTCGGCTTTAGGTTGGCCTTTTGTGTACCCAAGGCAGGTGCAGGAAGTCAACTTAGGAGCATTGTGACTTGATGTAAGGATATAATATATTTTGTTTATTCGTGAATAACTGTAGTGTGTATATTTACAATATAAACTTTGAAACCCATTGAAATATTTTCTTGAGAATTATTCGAAGAGACTTCCATATTTCACAAATTTGATGTAAAATGACGGTGGACATGTATACCACCAACAAGCTCCGTTGGAAGATGGTCGTGATACTATATGATTTCAATTTCTAAAACAGAATAATAAAGTACTAATACCACACATAACTGTTTTGTCCAAGTTTTTATTATAAGAAGTAGTAAATTTAGAATTTGTTAGTAGTGTCGCACATGGAAGAATAAATACTACCGTTTTCCCTATTGCCGACAGTTGAATCTAATCATAGTATATCTATTATCTAATTTAAGAACATAAATTTCCCATTTGATGTATTTATAAAAGCCATTTCCGGGACAGTCATGAAATTCCGGCACTAGAGTGTCACTGATACTGGTGCTCTCATATTTTGTAATGAAGTTTTGTTTACTCAGGTTTGAATAAAGTTATAAATATTGTAAATCAAATTTTTCTAGGAATTGTAACAATGCAGATCTTTACAAATTGTTTGTTTGAACACGGCGTGGTGTACACTGTTATCTCTCACTTATGGTCTTATGGGAAATTGCAAGGTTTATATTTACATAAGTGCAAACTTAAAAAATTGTTTTGACTAAAACATGTTAAACAAAACTAAATAATTTTCAATTTCTACATTCTATATTGAATCTTGGAAGGGTTTGTTTTGCGCAGTATCTAATTTATTTTGAAGTGTTTTGTATTTTTTACCTTTTTTCTTTTTTTCTATATTTTTCGCCTTTTTTCATATTTACATGAACGTACCTGATACATAATGCATGTTACTGTCAAACCAAAGTAGGCCTCTATGTATGTTCTAAATCGTTCTGCATAAGCATCTCTGCAGTCATAGACATCATCTACGTGCACTGATGAATAAGTTGTTACATGTACACGACCTTGGCAATTCAGCTTGAAATCATTTTAAAAAAAGATACATAGGGTGTATAGCAAAATGAAGAAAAATAATTCTACTTATTTAAGCATCATGTGTATTTGCAAAAAATGTGACCAGTGAAGTGAGATCTAATTTACCTTTAAGACACGATATCATCCTAAGGTTTAATTAGATTTCATGTTGCTTTGTATTTAGAGGCTATATCCAGAGTTTTATCATCTTTGTCGTATTATCGTCGTGTTTTGTATTGACCAATGCATGCCATTTTGGTATTGTCCGTCTCTTTTTATACTTTAGTATTGCCTCCTTTTAGTTCTGTCACTGGTCCTAATACATTTTGTTCTTTCTATATTATTTTTCTTTAATTACTGAGTTGTGACGTTTAAACCCACTGCATTTTTATGCACCTGTCCTAAGTCAGGAGCCTGTTGTTCAGTGGTTGTCGTTAGTTTTATATAGATTAGACGGTTGGTTTTCCTTTTGAATTGTTTTATACTAGTCGTTTTGGTCCCTTTATAGCTTACTATTCGGTGTGAGCCAAGGCTCCGTGTTGAAGACCGTACTTTGACCTATAATGATTTTTCATTTACAAATTGTGACTTGGATGGAGAGTTGTCTCATTGGCACTCATACCACATCTTCTTATATCTGTTTTGTAGTTCTTTTCTTTTTGTTAAAATAAAGCAGAAAGAAGTGAGTATCAGTATTTCTGTGACGTGAATGCCAACTATCCCCACTTGTGAAAAATAGAGAAATCCTGATGAATTGAGTCTTGCCAACTCGCCCCACTTATGAAAAATAGAAAAGTCCTGATGAATTGAGTCATGCCACCTCATAGTCAATAAAAATAATTTAATAAATGTTCGTTTTTTCAGTGGGGCGAGTTGGCAGACCTGAAAATTATATATTCATCTAGATTTTACCTTTTTTCATTAAGTGGGGCGAGTTGGCAGGAGAAAAATTTACGGGATTTAACACTTTTCAAAAGTGGGGCGAGTTGGTAAACCAGTTTGGGGCGATTTTTTTAAAAGTGGGGCGAGTTGGTGAAAAAGTGGGGCGATTTGGTGTGGGGCGATTTGCCAGTGGGGCGATTTGTCCTGCTTCCGTTGTGACATAAAACTAGAAAGTATTTTACCAAAAGATGGCGAGAGGAACTCATTATTATCCTCATGCTACCCTTAAATCTTAATATATACCAGACTTTAATGTCCAAAACATGTTTACTTCTTTGACAAAAATTTGACAATGGGCATATAAATGCAGCGTCTTGAAGATAAGGTGTCGCGATATATAACATCTGACTTTAACCTCTGACCTTCTAACTCATATTTAATCCGGTTGGGGACGTTACTACTGAGGAAATTCAAACTACTGTGAGCCTAAATCCATAAAAATAACCCAACAACTTTTAAATACGGATTCAGACAAGGTTTTGTAGAGACAACGGATTAAAAGCAAAAAGAAGACTTCAATACTCTTCCCGAATGGGTTAAGGCTGTAGGTGCATTTATTACAAAATAGAATCAAGAACCCGAATGGGTCTTGGACCTTCGAATGATACATGTCTGGGTATACATACAATCTTACATGTATTTCCATTTGCTATAATATAAAAAAAGGTGATTTTTTAAACATTATACTAGAATATATGAAATTCTTAGATTGAAGACAGATTGATAGAAATAGTTCAACTTTATTTCATGGAGAAAATACTAACGTAGCTATCTTGTTCCGTGAACGAAAAAATCATACTTTGTAAAACACCGCTCTGATTGACATGATTTAAAACAAAAGGAATTATGCGAAACGCACATCATCAGGATTGATTTTATTTATGATGTTCTCTAACAAAATAATCAAAAGTTAGATTACTAATTTAAAAATAAAAATACCAAAGATACAATTAAGTCTGCCTCATATCTTGACTTAGATTTAAAAATTAACCATAAAAGTCGGTTGCAAATAGAAAAGATAACCCACAAAACGGTGATCTTAGCTTTCTCATTGGGAACTTTCCATTTCGAAGTAGCAATAGTTCAATAGCACCTGCAGACAAAGTATATAGTTGCCAGTTGATACGATAATCTTATAATCGGATTTAATTACACGAATGATGAAACATTTGGCACAGAAACTGATTACCGCCTCGCAGCATCTCTTCGTTCATACCTGTTTTGTGTGGTTAGTTTTTACAAACTTTTAATTTTTGGAATGGCTTTGCCATGATATATGAGTTTTGAATGAACCATTTAATTCTTCCGCCTCTTTTTTACACATCGACAAACTACTTTTGCATCTGACATACCTCAAAACATGATTAATGTAGACACCCCACCCGTTAACCATATATATATATTTCTCTAACTCTTCGTCAATTTATCCCTTTCTGCACCCATTGTATAAAAAAAAATTTAATCAACGTGTGGTTCGTTTGATCTCAGTTCTTCATTGGTTAAAATCCGATTATGACGTCGAATTTTCTTGCTTTCCTCTGAATGTCCTATTGTGACGGCATGAAAAAAGGCGACCATGCCTGATGACGTCACATAGAAAGAACACATCTTTTTGCAGATCATTCGAAAAGACGAAATAAATTTGCCTGCGTATTGTTTGAAAATCATTAGAGAAACAGATTCCACCACCAAAGCTCGTGTAATACGATATTTATCCACTCTCGACAGTTAAATTTGAAATATTTAAATATTTTAATATATCAGAAAAATTAACAAAAGATAATAACGGTTTCAATTCATCACTTTTACTAGCGCTTTAACTGATTTCACAGATCTTCAGGTAATGTAAATATATTTATATATATTATATATATTTTGACATAATCATTACAATACAACATTGGTCACGTCTGTGAGGATTAGTTCCCTTTCCATTATATCACAATCTGTTGAATATATCTACAACCTTTCCAGATCCAAAACTGTCGATCAATGTTTTAACTGCCTTGTTTGCGTAACATGAATGTTAATGTCGACTATGAAATTGACAACATACATTATCCAGTCAAATGTCATTTTATATTTCTCACTGCTATGGAAACCGGATTTAGAGATACTGCAATGGTGGTTAAAGATTTAGATAGAGTCTTCTAAGGGACACTTAATGGTTAAAATTTCAATATTCATTACTCTTGAATACAGATTTTCATAGGAGTTGGGTAATTTTGTTATTTTACTTTTTGATAATATTCAATAAAAAAAAAAAAAAAAACGGGAGACAGAAAAAGACGAAATTGATCGTAGTTTGTTGCATTGCTTAGAAAAGATCAAACCAGCAACTCAAACAGAATATACACAGTGGTTTTGCTAACAACTAGCAATCAGATCATTTTATGACTCTTTTATTAGAAATATTATATACTGCCGTTTGTATGCCTGCACGAAATTGTTTTACACTCTCTCATTGAAACATATCAATTGCTATACCATTCAATTGTAAAATATACCAAACTTGTAGGTTAATATGAGCGTACATGTAGTTTTTGACCAAATATGCTCTCAAGGTGGTTTGAGATGGATATAAACTATGGTAAAACAATGAAAGTATTGTAATGCATCTTTAGGAACATTTTTTTTTAAATGAAAATATAAAAAACTTACCATTCTTTTAAAATTTGGAAATATGTTATATGCGTAATTAGTTGAACCACCATAATATTTGTACGCCAATGTGTATGTTGCCAACGTATTAAGAGAGTATTTCTGAAAAACAATGAAATTTCTTAAGAACTAAACACACGAAACAAATAATAATAATAAACAAGTACATTGATATGCTATCTTAATAATGATGACAAAGTAATTTTGTAAATACCCATTGTGACGTGAAATTGTTTAAAAATTTTTATCTTTAACTAAGTACGAAAGTAGCGCACACTTTGTGTTTTATTGTTGCATTTACACTCTCTATTTTATGTTTTGATGACTATCTGATTGTTGTTTTGTCATGTTGTTGTCACTAGACTGACGGCTTTTTGGAAATGCAACTTTAATTCATTATTTAAAAACATTCAGTCGTATCGTATGTGCTACATTAACGAAGTTTCAAAATCTAATTCACCATTTGGTCAAATCGACATTTAAAGTATCAGGATTGTAAAAGTCTTTTGTTTGCAAATACAAATTGAAAAACCAATATTGATTGAATTAGATTCATTATGATGATATATAATTCAAACGATATGATCCGGATACTTAAGTGCCATAAAAATTGCAGTTTTGTAAAATTAAATTTTACATG